ATTACGCGCAAAAAATGTTCCTAAACCAAACAAATCCCTAATGAAACGATGTCACCTGTATATAGCTCCAAAATTGTACGAACATTTACCAAATAATTTAAAACAATTACGCAATACACTAGGCTTCAAAAAAAAATTAAAAAAATTATTAACAGACTCATATGACCAGGGGAGAATCCGAGTCCTCTTGACCTGACCATAGTGTCGAACAACTTGGTCACCATCACACATTGGGGTATTTTGCAGGACCGGAAATAGTGATCACTTCCCGATCATTTGTAAATATGAACACTCACTAAGATCAACGAACGAAAGACCCAAAAGAAATTATAAAAAAGCAAATTGGACATTATATAAACAATTGATAAACGAACACTTTAGGATGAATACGGATAATGTTGACTACCAAACCCTTGTTCAAACAAACATAGTAGCTGATATCTCAATCCCCTATACCTATACCAAGCAAGATAATAACAGAAAGGTACTCAGAAGCCCATGGTAGGATGAAGAATGCACAGCCAAAATTGAACAAAGCAAAAAGGCCATACGAAAGTTTAAACTAGAATCTAGTTTAGAAAATTACATCGAGGCGAAAAAAAAATCAATGCACAGACAAATAGATTCTTGAAAAAGAAAGAAAAAACCCAATTTAAAAAAATTTTACTCCATCATAAACAGAAATACGAATCCCTCTTTCATATGGAAAACATTCAAAAAATTTAGTGACAATAAAAAAGTATACAATAAAAACTCATCCCCTAACCCACAAATTGCCGCAAATATCATAAAAAATCTGACTGTGTGTAACATTCGAGCTGAATTCTCATTCCATTGTTAAAAAAATGAAAACCATCAATTCTACTTCAGAGATTTATGTATCGCTTTGGAAAACCGCAAAAATAGTGCTCCAGGAATGGACAATATCTCATATTTATTGCTCAAGAATCTACCAGGCTCAACACTACACTCACTATTAAACATATACAACAACTGCCTATCGGGTATGCAAATACCTAACAGCTGGAAAGAGCATTTGATATACCACATACTTAAAACAAATAAAGACCCAAACAACCCCAACAACTATAGACCTCTGATTCTAAGCTCCTGCGTAGGGAAAATACTAGAGATTTTGATCAAAAATAAAATAGAGTGGGAATTCGAAAGTAAGATAACTTTTAACCACCTGCAGACAGGATTCAGAAAAGCATACTCTACCCAAGATAACCTCGCTTTCATAGTTTCCAACATACAATTGGCTTTTTCACAAAAAGAAACCACGTTAGCAGTCTTCCCAGACATCAAATCAGCATACGACAACGTAAACATTTTTCTATTATGCCATATTAATAAAACTTGGAATATCTAAACAAATTTGTAATCTAATTTTTAATTTACTGAATAACATAACAGTATATACAATAGATAATGAAAACAAAACAATATTCATGGCCCAAAGGTCACCTCACTAGGCCTTCCTCAGGGGTCCCCTCTAAGCCCACTATTGTTTAACATATATATAAATGAATTATATTCAATATTACCAGAACACATACATTTACTCAGCTACGCAGACGATATGGCACTGATGATCAACGGTAACAAAATAGACAAAATGGCGGTAATATTAAAAGAGTATCTGTAAAGAGTAAACGTCTGGATGAAAAGCCACAACTTTGAAATATCAGTGGAAAAAAGTTCAGCGATATGGTTTACGAAAAGTAATCGAATGCGGTCCACACCAATAATTAAAATTAACAGTGAAATTAACAATGGAAATATAGAGCTCAAAAACCAAACGAAATACTACATAAGATTAAAAATTTTTGGGAAGGTTTCCTGGGGTGCCGACCCTGCAACCTTACACATGGCGTATAACGGACTAGCTAAATCGCATCTGGATTATGGTAGCATGCTATAAGTTCCAGCAATCAAAAAGAACTCAACAAACTCCAGAAGACGGCATTTCAAGGGCTCAGGATCATAACGGGTACCATGAAGTCAACACCAACTAACACGTTACTAACAGAAACCGCGGAAATGGGCCTACACCACAGGCGGGTCTGGTTATGCACTAGATACCTAGCGAAAGAAATTGGAATTCAATCCCACCCCTTAATCATAATATTAAAAAAACTAAAAAACCAATATGAGTCAGGCCAAGACTATTGGAGGAATAGAGCGCCCACCATCACCATAAAAGCCCTTAACATGTTGGAAGAATACATTCCACTAATCCATTCGGGACGAGCCCTACCGTGCTTCGAGTTTGATTACACTACTCAAACTCGGGCAGTGAAAGTCTTCCCCCTTAACTTAAACAAAAAGATCACAATATCGAGTTTCAATTTCTACAAATTATGGAACAGGTCAGAGACACTCTTACCTACATATACACTGACGCATCTAAAGTGGACTATAAAGTGGGATACATTCCTCAACTGGAACATAACTACGCATCCAGACTCCCTGAATACTTAAATATCTGCGCGGCGGAAGTAGCAGCGATTAACAAAGCATGCAACATAGTCATAGAAAAGAAAATCCAGAAAAGCCTAATATTAACAGACTCGCAATGTGCTATAGCACAAATAGCAAAATAAGGTGTGGATGCTAACTCAGAATATGGCTGCCTCACAACAAGAAAGCTAATTCACGAAGCTGCAGAAAAAGGATACAATATTGAACTGGCTTGGATCCCAGGACACTCAAACATTAGAGGAAATGAAACGGCAGACACCCTAGCTAACTTAAAAAGACAACTCAGAATCCCACAAGATATTAAACTTACCATACCCGATATATTAACTAAGACCAAAACAAAAATAAAGGAGAAATTCACAACAATGTGGAAACGAACATTCATCAACAAAGGCAGGTGGTATAAGAAAATACAAGAAGAATTTCCGGTCAAACCATTTTACTCCAAAATCCCGTATATAAGCAGAAGACACCTAACAGCTATAATCAGAATGAGAACGGGACATGCAAGATATAAAGCTCACATGTTCAAAATAGGAATGGAAGATGACCCCTTCTGTGATTGTGGACAATATGCAGATTTAAATCATATACTATTAGAATGCCCCATAAATCAAATATTAGGTTTTAATCTATATGAAGCGATAAGAAAAGCTGGAGTCAATGCCCCCTTTAACATGCCCTTTAACATTCAATTAATACTTGCAAATATCAACATGAAAGTCATATACCTATTAACCTACTTCATTCAGACAAACAAAATAATATTATAACTGTTTCCGAACTCCATCTTTTAAAACCCTGGGTGCTAATCCTTTTCCGAGGCAACATTTAGGGTGTGTGTAGTGTGCCTCCGTTGCCCGGGTACGAGAAAAGTCTATACCTGTGTTGTGCTATCTGTCTGACTAACCTCCCCACACCACTTTAGAAAGCATAAGTAAAGGTTTTCATCAATCATAAATAGCAACATCTCAGCTCTAGAATTAATACAGCAGAAGATATAGATATTTTTACAGCATTTCTACATGTGAATTCGAGACAATACAGTGACTCATACATGGCTGAGAGCCAGACAAAGTACAGTCACAACAAATGATCTGGCGGATTGTACACGTGTACAGAAGCCATAAGGAATAAAGAAGAAGAAGAACATGTCCAACATAACATTTTAGCCTGAAAAGGATAAATGTGTTAACTATATACTTTATTCATTAAATAATATTATTTATCTTGATACAAAATAGCTAGTAAGGAACAAGTTCTTGTATCACTTAAATACCTTCTCTTACATGGTGGTTTGACTTTTTGTATGGTGACATTTCCTCCAATTGCCAATCGTGTTGTCTCATACTCCTGTTGTAGTACTAGATGATGTGAATGATTGCACAATTTCTACACGCTCTACCATCTTAGAAGCTTCATCAGGAAAAGGAACGGGATTTGAGCTAAAATGTTTTCCACATGAGTAAATAAAATAATTTACATCAAGAGGATACTTACACCACATGAGAAGGCCCTGATATAGCCAATCCTTCCATTCTCAATCTAAAATGAAAGGTATTTAAAAATACTGGGCACAACACATGTAAATAACCAAAATCCTTTCACATACACATGATGCTATCTAGATAAGTTTTCACAATAATTTTGTGGTAATATACTTGAATGTACGTATCACATTTATTAAAGCACACTTGAAGCACACAGACACTGACTTATTTTATTGTACCAATCCATCTATTTTGATATGTAGTATAAACTTATTATATGAGAATAGTTCAAGTCAGTATAGAGCTTTCGGACAGGGCTCCCTTGATTGCTATGGGCTTCTGAGCTTGATTCCTTTGATGGAGTAAGCGTTGCTATATGTGCAATACGTTGAGTAAATATTAATCAATATGAATATATAGGGCAAATGTACCTGTGTGCTATCAATAGCATGTCAAAAAAACTCAATAAAATAATGGATATATTTACCTTGCATACTTCTGTTCATCATGTATGGAGCGAACATCTACGGGTCAGCACCATCCTTCAAAAGGTTTCTTCCAGCAAGATCATTTTCGAAGTCCTTGTCATAAAAATTTTTGCTGCATATCAGTGTCAATTTCGGTAACGTTTTCTCCCTGTCAATGCCAAGCAGTGAAATCCATATAATGTGCTTCGCTGGGTCAGATGGGAGTCTAAAATTGTATACACATGTCTTACACCATTGATTCTTACACTAATTATCTGTCTAATGATTATAAACTAGCTAGCATGAAAATCTGATCAAAACATGGCAAAGTTCACGTTTAGTTACTTTATTCGCTGTGTCTAGGTACACGCTAACTTGTACGCTTAGAAAATAATTGTATACACGCGAAACGTCATAATAGTAATGACGTCACGTTTTAGCGTGCACACATGGTGTTGTTTGTTAAATACACGCCAAATAAAATAGATACAAGTTATATATAATATTTGAATAAGTAAAAATATGCAAATGAATGTAACTTTTATTAAAAAAATAATAGTATCAAATAAACATTTTATGAGATATAAACATTTTATAAAACATAAAAGCTATTTTCTCCGCCTTCGTTTTAGTCCAATCACCGTTTGTTCAGCGCCTTTCGGTCTTCCTTTTACTTTAATTTTTGGTGGCAACTTGATGTTACTTATAACTAAAAATGTATATTTATCAAATTTCAAATTATAATTACCGTCTGTATTATATCAATATCTATAAGTATATACCATTTATTTTATGGGCATTTTCGCAAATAATGTCACTCCCCTGTTCAGTTAAAAGTTGTTTTTTCCTATTAGGCTCTGGAATTTCATTTTTTTCTAAAATATAACAAATTAGTAAGATAATTATTGATTTCGGTCATTGCGAAAGCACTATACCGGTAGTACATATGCTTTCAAAATGTAATACTCTGTTCGGCTCAGGTTCCCCACTATATCCATTTACTTTACGTTCTGTATTTTCTTCTATTGGTTGTTCTACGTCATCGGTAGTGTCGCTCTACCAAACTGCTTTTGTCTAAAAAACGAAAACAAATAATATAAATATATTTTACCATATAATGGTTTAAAACCAACACACCCTGATTATCCATATTTTGAGTGTCTTCTTCTTTTCCTAAGTCTACAAATTCAATGTGCACATCATGTACCTCAACCAACTTGCTTATATCAACATTTTCTATTGACTGGATTGTAATGTCCTCTGTAGGAATGGCACTTACTGCTATTTCACGACCTTGCCGCCAAAGATTTTCTATTTTTTCTAGTACATTCATTTTGTAATTAAAACAGGTCCGAGAAGATAAGCTTGCTAAATTTGCTAGAGAATTGGTTAAAAAAGAGCTTTTTTCTTTTCTGTTGCACTGTTTGAATAACAGGATTTGTAGCTAGGGTTACAGAAAAAGGTTGTGAGGATGCTTGGTCGCTTTTATTCACAACATTTGTAGTTGTCCTTTGGTGCTTTAAATAAAATTTTTTTGACCATCTTTTATTACATATATTTTTGTCAAATAATTTTATTTTTGCCAATCTTCTAACGGCAAAAATATGCTTGCATGGCAATAGCATTGATGAAAAATGTGTACAAGTGCACTCCATTGGACAAACATGATAGGTCTTTCCTTTTGATTTTACTTCATACTTGTTTAAATTGTTGTCTTTCAACACAATGTTTACATTTTTTGATTCTTTAATTTGATTTGAATATATCTGTTTACATAAGGGGTTAGAAATTCTTCATAATGGAATTCGCAGCTGTCCTTTCCAAACACTGTAATAGCCCTTGTTAAAACCAATCGTGCGGCCCTATTATCTCTTTCGTTTTCATGAGAGTGTAAAAAAATTAAAAAACATTTTAAAAATTCTGATATACTGCTATTTTTCTGTATGACCTGCTTTAATTTGCCATTTATTGCCTCTAACCGATTGTTTGTTCTATTCAATAAATTACCATGACACATATTGTAAACTGTCCATTCATCTCTTATAGTATGCCAGTTTTTATTATAATAGGTAATTATTGATAGTGGGGTAGAGTTTGTTGCAGTAGTTTATAGTATTGATCATACTGTTCTTCGCTTCTGCTATAAGCAAGATTTTCTAAAAGCTTTAAGGCTCTAGTCCTTTCATCATTTATTATGTTCATTTTTTCTTTAGATAACTCACGTTTCATAGTTTTTAAAGTATGGAATAAGCAAATATATACTGGGACTTTTGGAAAAATTTCTTTTATCGCATTTCTTTGTAATAAATCTTTATTGCCCATTATACATTTTATTTGATATTCCGAAATCGAACTGTCATCCTTAAAGGTATTTAAAAACCAAGAAAACGTTTCTTTATCCTTTATCCTCGTGTGCAGTTAAAGCTACAGCATCTATTTCACTTAGACCATTCGAATCTTCTACCAAAATTATGAATACAGTAAATCCTAAATTTAATAACTTGTAAGTTCCATCTATTGAGACAAATTCAGGCCAGGCTTTCATTGCCTTCCTCATAGAATCTGTAGAAAAATACAGAGCTTTAAAATGATTCCTCGAATCGTGTAGAATGTGGACATTGCATTCTGTAAACAATACATTTGTAGTATATTAGTTCTTTTTAAAATCACTGAATACAGTCAATTATTTCTATAAAATACCACACTACATTAAAATTATTGAACATTCTAACAGTATTACAGCTCAACTGAAGTTAAATAGAAAAAAAATGATAGAAATGTTTGTGCCCTCTAACCCATTTTGTTTATACTCACTGTAAATATCTTTCAGCTCCTTTACTATATGTTCTAAATCATTACTAGCATTCTTCTTACTACATGCAATATTTGCTAAACCTTTCAGTGTACTCAATTTTCCAGTTGAACTCAATATCTTTTGCTGTATTAATTTCTTATTTCCAGGACATCTAACAAATTTTCAACAACAGATTTTTCGTCAGAGTTCAATCTACGATTTGAGGGCAAGTGATCAAAAACCTCCTAAAAAAGACTCAATAAAATAACTGAAATATTTGACTAGTCAACAACCACACAAGTATCTTTCTCTACTTTAAAACTCTCATAATGCGAAATAAATAAAAATAATTATACGCTTACTGTAGACATATCATGATTTTCATGTTTCTCCAAAAACTGTTTAACTTCGAGCCGATCGCCTGCTTTAGTAGCTCGAATTTTAATTTTAGCTGGGCCGTTCATCTTGTGAGTTATAAAATATGTAAAAACAAATCCTTAGATATTCAATTCTTATCATACTTTACCTAAATAAAAAAGTGACTTTTAGTCGAATTGTTAATGGCACTACTTGATGGCCAAGATCAAACTACTGACACCATTTATAGGTTAATGCCTAGTTCAACGTTTCTACCTTGTTTTGCGTATGCCTTTTCCACGAGTCCTTACAACACCACCATGAACACAACACAACTGAGCTTCATAGTATTTTAGGTCACTGTTTAGTTTTCGCTTTAACATTTTCTGTGCTGCCTCAATTGTTCTGCTTCTGCTACCTTTTATCACAAATTTTTGTCTGTCCACTGTTTCATACTGATTTAGCGTACTTTTAAACTGAGCAAAAGAATCAAATGTTTGACCAAACTGCATAATGAGAATTATCATTCAAAACTTGCCACATAAATTTAACAAAAAGATGAACGCATCAATAAAGAAGCAATAAATAACATAAATCGCACATAACCTCAAAATGGTCATGGATATCGCGTGTACCGTGTATTAATTTAATAAACGACACCATGCGTGCACGCTAAAACATGACGTCATTACTATTATGACGTTTCGCGTGTGCCCAATTATTTTCTGAGGGTACAAGTTAGCGTGTACCTAGACACAGCGTACTTTATTTTTAAGATTGTGATTATGTGGATATTTCTGTACTTGATGGACTATACCCTGAACATCAAATTGTATCATACTGCTAGTGATGGATATATATTTATATAAACGCGTCAGGAAACTGCAAAAAGTTACTAAAATTATGGTAAAAGACTATTTTATTATAATTCATACAGTAAAATTTGGATTGCTATGCCCATGTTATGTAAACATAACCTTACTTACCGATCGAATGATAAATTAGCAGATTCTGGATTATTGCTGTTTATCTTGCTCACATAACACGATCTCACAATTGTTCAGAAGATAACAGTTCAATTCCACTAACAAACTTAGGGCAAATAGCAAAAAAATAATAATTTGTAAAAATGCACAACTCAAACACAAAATACGCACTCCACCCTATCGTAAAATGGCCATTCATAAGCAAAATGTGACGTTGCCAGATGTCGACTGAGGCTCTGACTCAAGGAAATCTCTTTCATCTGCTGACGGTAAATTCAATACAAAAAAGTTCATACTACCCTACTTTTCACTATTGCTTATACAGATTTTCAAGAATGTTAAAAGTTTTGTTTTCATGAGTCCAAACAGCTGGTTTTTGTGATTAAATGTTTGTTTTAGGTTTGTTTACCACCAGTTTACCAATTCTATCAGCGAGTGAATGGCAACATTGCAATTCGCTAATATTTATGGTTTCAATAAGTTTTAGTGTAAATAGAAAGGTCTATGTCTTTTTATCGTCGTTGATAATAGCTAATAGTCTTCAGTGTGAATACCTGCGCCGCTGAATATAACAATACAGTCAATACTGCGATCATTTTTATTCACGTCATAAAATAATAAGTTTTTTGATATTTCAGAAACTTGACGAACTTGAATTAAAATCGCTATAAAAAATGAAAATAAGAAAAAAAAAATGGATAATGACATCATTGCAAGAATGGCTTTAAAAAAAAACTTTTTAAATTATTTTTCACGGTGATCCTAGCTCATATACACTGTTATTAGACGGTATCGAAGTTCGACGTATAAATTGGTTTCAATTGTAAATTTTGTATTAGAATAATTGTCATTTGGATTTCGTTATAATATAATAAGGCAACACTGATTTCGGTGAAACAATCAGTTGTGAATATTTTGAAAGACACCCGGCTCCGTCTAGACGAGTGTCGATTCTTGCTACAAAAAATCGATTGCTGCATCGAAAACCATTAGATTTCTGACTAAACAAAATTTTACCAATCGGTGGTAGGTCATGGTGTGATCTAATTCCAGTTGCAGGATTGTCCTTCTATTGAGTTAAAGCAACAAATACCACTCAGATAAGAGAAACCGCAGTATAAAACATACATAAAAGCCATTTTTTCTTAATTTCGTGAATTGATAAGGAAGAGATAGTCGAGGCGTCGGTAAAATATTTTTGTTTCAAGTTTATTTGGATTGAAATGAGTGCTTATTGCCCTTTTGTGATCAGGTAAATATGTTTTCATCTGCAACTATCAGATTACAATTCTCTCTGTAAAATTTTGCGTTTTCTTAAGTCATATTGCGATACTTGCAAAATTGGTACTGCGTACAAGCTATCAATGGTTTGTACTAGATACTTTGAGATTGCGACTTTGCTTCAGAGATGACACTCGCTTTGCTAACCACATCGAACCCTTTTCAACTCATGCATAGCATAGTCTTTTTCACGAGTATCCATTAACACCTGATTATCTCGTAATATTTCAAAATGCCCCATATCGATAAATGACACATAACTCTGACGGATCCGTGAACGCCAGGTACTATTTTTACTTGCTAACAACTCTTTTATTTAGAAAAGTTCATATGCAAACATAATAAAACTCTGCAAGCTGTTTTTACTGGATTTACACCTGATTCATTATGACCAAGGCTACAGACTAATACAAAGGTGTTATCAGCTTTTCCCCTCAGTAGACGTGAAAACATGATGGATACTTGTGAAATAGTGTTAATACCTCTCGGAAAATTGAACTTGTACACATGGCTACTATTGCGTAGACAAGCAGCTAAGTTAAATAGGGGCAATGTGCCTGAGATGGCATACTTTTTTTTGGGTACCTACTATAATTTTTCTCTTTATGGCCAAAAAAATATTTTTATGTGGGAAATATATAAATATGGAATAAATAAAGCAAGTTTTCACAAAACTTAAAAGGTTTTTCTATTACCAAACGAAAAAATAAATTTTTAAAAATAAACATGGTATACTATCTCATGAAAGTAACTATTGATGAGATAGCATAGTAATGATAAACATATGAAACTAGCTACAAATTTCACATTTGAACATTTTTGTCTTTCTGTCTAACCCAGCACATTCTGCATGGGCCCATTTTTTAGAGATGTGACACTGGAGCCATAATTCCCTTGATAGAGACCAGGAGTAAAGTTCATTACAATAAATACAAGGCTAGTCCTCCTCATCTAGGTCATCTCCTACGTCAAAACCCTCCGTCTGCTCATCTTCATCGTCATCCTCCATAACACATTTCTTATTCATGGTTCTCTCCGACTTTCTTATCATCCCTTCTTTTTTTTTTGTGCATCCTGGTCCTGCTCAATCTCCCTATAAATTTTCTTCTTAGCAGTTCTCGCCGCCTTTCTCAACATCACTTCTTTCTTTTGTGTTTCCTCATTTTTCAATTTTTTTTTTCAATTCCAGGGCTTCTTGTTAGATTACCATATGACCCTTTTTTCTTTTTCGTCGCACTATCTCTGCGACTTTTGGCATTGGTGAAATTTCCTCAATTGATATGTCAAGATTTGTTCTTGCAAATATGTTTTGAGAACATGATAAAGGCACAACTAAAGTTTAATTGCTATTTTCGTTAGATAGGTACCATGGTAGATTGGACACTTGGTACCGAGTTTGTCATGAGGTTGAATCTATCTACTTTCTATTTCATTTAACTGATCATCGTGTATTTGATTTTCGTCCCGATTGTCATCCTTTTCAGCGTTAGTTAATTCTGCGGCAGCAAACATCCAATCGGGGAAGATGTTGTCGTTGAATGGTGCTATGCCAGTCGCTGAAAATCCGCTTAGAGCGTTGGGAATGGTTGCTGCCTTGATATAAATAAAAGTTCGTTTCCAGTAAAGTAGCTTTTTTTTATTATTATAAGACTTCGGTCGACACAGTACAATTGTTGTAGTACAGAATGATAACTTAGGACGGTCAGAGAATGAATGAATACTGAATGCTGGCACAGCGATGATTATGCTAAATCTCAAACAAAGAAATATTCCAGAAAGCTATAGAAGTAACACCTGTAAATCTTCGAAATTGATAACAGTTGGAGAGCTGTGTAAACAGTCGTTATTCTAAGAAATGACCGATAAAAGACGGTCACCTTAAGGGGATGGTCATTCTAGCGTACTGCTGAATTAAGGAAATGGTCTCTTAAGGAAACTAGTTATTAGGATATCATAATTCCTCCCTCATTGGAATAGATTGGTCTCCAATCTCTAAACCATTGGAATAGATTAATTTTCATTTTTGTTATTTTTCATTATCTAATAATTCTGACTGAGGTGGAATTGCAGCGTCCTTTACCTATCGATATTTTACATAAAAGAATATGAACAAGATTAATGCTACTACGACTACTGAAATAATGATGCTCGTTGTATAGTAAGAATGAAAACTTAAATTCTCTAAGGTGTAATGAACATCGTCTAAATGATCTTTAAAGTAAGGAGTGAAATTATTTTCGTAATGTGAAATACTAAAATTAAATGGTTTCTCTCTAATTGGTAAAGTCATGACGATCTGCCAATTTTTGTTGAATTTCAATAATTGATTATCATAATAGGCATCACATTTAAGACTAATGAGTAAAGTGGTCATCATCAAGTCATCGTTGGTTGTCAGAGCGGTCCGTGGGACCTTAGCTCTTGAGTCACAGTGTCAGTTTGTAAGTCTGTCAGGTCTGGTAACCCAGAAACCAGACAATTTTAAGGAAAAAAGGGAAGGAAAGGAGAGAAGGAAGAACGAGAGCAAAGGGGAAGAAGAGAATCTTTTAGGATAGGCAGCGTTTAGGCATTGTTAAAATCACTTCACAGATTTTGATATGGTCTAAAAATATTCGATTTTTTCTAAAGATTTTATCAAAAAATGCTCCAATTTTGGTTGTTCTAAGTTCACGAGTTAATTTTGATTACACTGCGAGCCGCGGCCTTTTGTTCTTGCGAACTTCCTCGACTGTGTAGTCCACTGACTCACGCAACAGGGGGCTGCTGTGCGATTCCGCTAGGCTATAGCGCCGCTGCGCCTGTTGCTTAATGTAGTCCTTTAGGTAAGGGACATCGAGGTCTCTATGTAGAGTTTCGTTAGAGACATACCATGGGGCATCAGCAATAGTCCGCAACGTTCTGCTTTGCAGAACCTGCAGATTTCGCATGTGTGTTTTAGCAGTAAAGCACCAAGCCGCATATGCGTAAGTCATTGCTGGTCTTATGACCACCTTAAGGTGGGTACTGACCGACGCTACAAGATGTAATGTAACATTCGCACCGAATATGTTCGCATCGCGTATGTACGCATTGTGTTCGAAATCGGTGTAACATGCTCGTTTGAGATATGTGCTCCATATTCGCACAGTCTCAGCCAAGATGTCTGACGAGGCGGTTGTGTTGGGATCTTTGATTCTGCTAAATTATTGTTTAATCCAAATTAAGAAGAAGAAAAAACGTTATTGGACGTCAGACTTATTCAAAAACAGACACGTATCGGGTGGTTTGTCATTGATAGCAATATTAAAAAACCAAATGATTAGTGGACAGTATAAAAACTTTGTTCGCATGTCTCCGATCGATTTTGAAGAACTCGTGAATTTAATTGAACCAAAAGTACATAAAAAGGATACAAATTATAGAAAAGCAATCA